TTTAGGGTGGAGTTGCACAGGGACGGTGTTTTATCTCATCCATGAGAAAGCACAGCCCCCCACGTAGGTTCGTACAAGTGCAGAGTACTTCGCCTGGGAACCCTGTGACCTTGAGTTTGAACTGCAGATCGCATTCCAGCCGAAGCCTTTAGCCCTGAATCCTAGACCCTACAGACTACCAAACCCCAACTCTAAACCCCGAACCCCGAGGCCTAATCACTAAACCTTAACCCTAGACCCTACCTAAACCCTAACCCTATAGCCTAAACCCTAAACCCTAAACCCCTGATTACAAACCCCAACGCTAGACCACTGAGCCCTTTGGCGGTCGTGTGCTTCCGTCCGAGGCACTGCCCCAACGATTGGGACGAGGTGGAGAAGTTGCGGCGACCGTCTTACAAACATGTTCCTGCAGGGTTTAGGGTTTTGTTTTGGGTTTTGGGTTTAGGGTCTAGGGTCTAGGGTTTAGGGTTTAGGGTTTAGGGTGTAGGGTTTAGGGAGATTTGCAGTGCGACAGGGCATTTTGGTACCCGGATGCCTTACTTACAAGTAGGTCCTTGCAGAACTGTACTACAAGCTGCATCCTACCTTGCCAATACCTGTTTTGTTTTGTTTTGTAACCCTAAACCCCTAAACCCTCCCCGGTCGAATATATGAGACCCTGACCAAAGCCCTTATCTTAAAGCCTACAGCTTAAAGCCCTTAAGCCTCCTGATCCCTAAAGCTTCCGGAGCCCCAAAAGCCTCATTAAACCGGGGTTTAGGGTTAGGGTTTAGGGTTTAGGGTTTAGGGTTTAGGGTTTAGGGTTTAGGGTTTAGGGTTTAGGGTTTAGGGTTTAGGGTTTAGGGTTTAGCCCCAAACCCTAATGTCGTACGTATCTGTTTTCGTGGGCCCTGTTTAAAGTCAAGTTTTGCTGCGCTACTCAGGACATTGTGATTGTTTGGGGCCCTAAACCCTAAACCCTAAACCCTGCATTATGTCACAGAGTCGGGATGTGGTAAGAAAATGTCGTACGGCGCACTTTCTAAACCAATCGCCGGGCCTCACTGTCCCTTTGAAAGCTCATCTAAACTCCTCCCTATGAAAATCACATGAGACCCGTTTAGGGTCTAGGGTTTAGGGTTTAGGGTTCAGGGTTCAGGGTTCAGGGTTTAGGGTTTAGGTTAGGGTTTAGGGACCGTTTAAAGAGAGCAGAAACCAGCAACTTAACAGTGTGTCCGGCTGAAACAGCGCTTAGGTGCGCGGCCAACAGCCAGGGTGCTTTTGCTGCCTTCGCTGTGACCAGCCCCCCGCCGAGCGTTCTGTTTCGGGCCGTTTAGGGTTTAGGGTTATTTGTGGGTTTCGGGTTTAGGGTTTAGGGTTTTAGGGTCATGTAGGGTTTAGGGTTTAGGGTTATGTAGGGGTTTAGGGTTTAGGGTTCTTCAGGGTTTAAGGCTTAGGGTTTAGGGTTTCGGGGCTTAGGGTTTCGGGTTTAGGGTCTCGAGATCCGGGTTAGGGGCTTTGGGCTTACAGTTACGGGTCTACAGGGCCCGAAGAGGTTGATCAGGGGTGGGAGAGGCAGCTGTTGTCATGATTCACTTGCTGCAAATACGTTGCTGTGTAAACCCTAAACCCTAAACCCTAAACCCTAAACCCTGTCTCCCCTCAGGTCATGTGCTGGCAGAGGCCACGGCCCAGTGTCAAGCGCCGTGGTCGATTTTTGCAGGGCGTTTTGAGCTCTCGGGTTTGAGGTGCTTGGGTTTAGGGTTTAGCGTTTTGGGTTTTGGGTTTAGGTTTTAGAGTTTAGGGTTTAGGGTTTTATGGTTTTTGTGGTTGTTGGTTTCAGGGTCCAAGGTTTTAGGGCGGGGCTGGGAAGAGCCGAGAGGCCCCAACAAGTCGAATCTCAAGAACCCAACGGGCTTAGGGTTCAGGGTTACAAACCTTAGCAGTATGGGTTTTGAGCAGCTTAACATACTCTGGCTCCGCTAGTTGACTCTCAAACCCTAAGCCCTTAACCCAAGCGAGGCTTCTGAGGGTTACGGCGGCTACCTTTCGGAAGCCTCCAGTCTACACCCGAAACACCCTAATTCCCAAGCCCACCCAAACCTACAGTTGGAACCATGGGCCCTTAGTATGGTCCCTTAACCTCGTTTATGGGCCCTTATTCTATATGGTTTATACAAGGGTTATGCAACAAGGGACAGACCCTAGACCCTAGAACCCTAACCCCTAAACCCTAAACCCTAACCCCTAAACCCTAAACCCTAAACCCTAAACCCTAAACCCTAAACCCTAAACCCTAAGAAGTTCAAGCCAAGGAGAGCATGGGCAAGCTCAACCTCGAGGGCTTCTGCGCAGCGTCCACGAGCCAAGTGATCCATGCCTTGACGGCACCTGGGTGAGAAGGGTTTAGGGTTTAGGGTTTAGGGTTAGGGTTTAGGGTTTAGGGTTTAGGGTTTAGGGTTTAGGGTTTAGGGTTTAGGGTTTAGGGTTTAGGGTTTAGGGTTTAGGGTTCATGGTGGGGTGGTTTGCTGGGTTTTATAGAGTTTGTGGTCAAGGTTCGGAGTAGAGGGTTTAGAGGATTTAGAGGGTTTTGTAAGGTTTAGAGGGTTGTGGACTTAGGGTGTTAGGGGATTGCAGGGTTTAAGATTCGAGTTTGAAAGGTGTTTGGGATCCAAGCTAAAGTTATCGCCGAGTAGGCGCTGGAGATCTTGTTGGGGATTCTTTGACAGCTTCAACGGCCAACTTAGTCAATCATCTACATATTCCCAATGCTTTGTCCCGACTGAATGCTGGCATTTTGGAACGCCAGGCCTACCCCTAAACCCTAAACCCTGATCCCTAAGCCCTAAACCCTCTTTTCTGGGCCCAGGAAGGGAGTGTCCTTTATTCGAGGGCTGTGTCGGGGTTCAAGGTTAGGGGTATAGCCCATCTTAGGGCGTAGAAAACTCGATCAACCAGCATGCAGTATAGGGTTTAGGGTTTAGGGTTTAGGGTTTAGGGTTTAGGGTCTAAACCGAAGTTATGAGTCTCCCGAGTTTAGGGTTTAGTTAGGGTTTAGGGTTTATAGGGTTTATTCTTGTGGGACGTCGGCTTCTTGATTCGCACTGATCCCGAAGATCCTGAGCGCGTTTCAGGGTTCAGGGTTTAGGGTTTAGGGTTTAGGGCTAAGTTGTTTAGGGTGCTCTTGCTATTCGAGGTTCAGAATTTTTGACTTAGGCTTTCGGGTGTAGACTTCAGGACAAGGTCGACGTCATACACCCGAAACCCAAAACCCTAAGCCCTAAATCCAAAACCCTAAACCCTAAACCCTAAACCCTAAACCCTAAACCCTAAACCCTAAACCCTAAACCCTAAACCCTAAACCCTAAACCCTAAACCCTAAACCCTAAACGCCAACCCCTAAACCCTACACTAGACCCACTAACTCTCTCAGAAGGAGCTGTCGGCTGCTTTGTGCGTACTGGCTGCGGACTGCACACTCATGGAGATACACCCCAAGGGCCGCCCACAGGACCGGGCTCAGGGCTTCAAGGTCTAGGGTTTAGGGTTTAGGGTTTCGGGTTTAGGGCTTGGGGTTTAGGCTTTAGGGTTTGGGGTTTAGGGTTTGGGGTTTGCCGCTTCGGGTCTGGGGTTTCGGGCTTGGGGTTTGGGGTTGAGGGTTTAGGGCCCAGGGATACGAGTCTCCAAACGAACCGAAACCTCAACCCTGATTTTTTCGCAACTCCATAGACTGAAACCTGGTGTTGGTAATGTATGGGGGCCCGTGTAGTCAGAATTGTAGTGGATACAGCATTTCTGGTTGTGAGAGAAGTTCAGCATACTGTATTGAGGCTGCGTCGGGTAGGGGTTTACACGGTTGACTTACACCCTAAGCCCTCATTGCCACCCAAACCCCCAGCCCCTAACCCCTACTAACCCCTACGGACCCCAACTGACCCCAAACCCCAAACCCGGGTGCCTTTGCTGAGGGCGTGCATTTGGCCGTGGCACAGGAGTGTTTTGCTCTGGGGCCCAAGCCCTATAAACCCGAAACAGTATATACCCTAAACCGCAAAGGGTGTGTGGTTTAGAGCCACTGCCGCGCAGCCCACTTTTCGCTTCGAGACGGAGGTACAGTGAGGGGTCGACCAACTTACCGGCCCAAAACAACACGCATGCAGCTGGGCAGCTAGACTCAGAACTCTACAACCCTAAACCCTCAACCCTCGACCCTAAAACCCTAAACCCAAACCCTAAACCCCAAACCCTAAACCCTAAACCCGATGCTTTGGTCCACGCTTGAAGCCGATGTCGGTATCGCTTGAGGTGCATCTTCTTAGTGGCAGGCGAGTAGGTTTGGAAACGGACCCTGCTGCCTCGGTGGAGTCGTTGATCCAGCGAGCAGGGTGCGCTTTGGCCGTGGGCTGCTCATCTTCAGGGTTTAGGGTTTAGGGTTTAGGGATTAGGGTTTAGGGATTAGGGTTTAGGGTTTAGGGTTTAGGGATTAGGGTGTAGGGCTGCTCAGGTTCATCTTGACATGATTTTGAAGTTCTGTGGGCCCTATAACCCCAACAGAATTGCTAGAAGTACAAGGTTTACGGGACCACCACTCCCCCTAAACCCTAAACCCTAAACCCTAAACCCTAAACCCTACACCCCTGTCAAATCCACTCCAGGCAAGGGAAGGCTCTTGAACGCCTGTGGTGATGTACTCGATGGAGCTACGACAGTCGAAGAAGCGAGGTTGCAAAGCGGAGACGTGCTGACTCTTCATGTAAGGCAGGTCCAGCTTAGGGTTTAGGGTTTAGGGTTGAGGGTTGAATGTACCCCGAGGATCCATTTGTAGTACTCTTATGGAATTAGGTACCCAAAAACCCATACTAAAGAGGGTTTTGGTGTACCTAATTCCATAATAGTAATACAAATGGACCCTTGTAAGGCAGGCACAGCTTGCACGATCCAGACAGAACTGCTTCTTGAGCGGGTCTGCCTTTGCTGCAATCCTGGGTGATGACTCCGTGGTGACCTGGGGGCCTGCAATGTTTGGTGGCGATAGTAGTGGCGTGCAAGATCGGCTCAGGAATGTGCAGCATATCCAAGCTTCCTACGCCGCTTTTGCTGCTCTTTTGGCCGATGGATCTGTGGTGACTTGGGGAAATGCTGGCTACGGTGGCAACTGCAGCTCCGTGCAAGATCGGCTTAGAGATGTGCGGCGCATCCAAGCTTCCAGCCGAGCTTTTGCGGCGATCTTGGGCGACGGATCCGTGGTGACGTGGGGCCACGCCGGCTGTGGCGGCGACAGCAGCGCCGTGCAAGACCAGCTGAAGGACGTGCGACACATCCAAGCTTCCCGCGGGGCTTTCGCTGCCATCCTGGGCGACGGATCTGTGGTGACCTGGGGCGAGGTGGATGCTGGTGGCAGCAGCAAGGCTGTGCAAGATCAGCTCACGAGCGTCAAAGAGATCCAAGCCTCGCAAGATGCGTTTGCTGCACTACGGGACGATGGGGCCGTGGTGGCCTGGGGCCATGACCTTTGTGGAGGGGACAGCCATTCCGTGCAACCTCGGCTGAAGAAAGTGCAGCAAGTTTCAGCTTCCAGCGCCGCTTTTGCTGCACTCCTTGCGGACGGGTCCGTGGTGGCGTGGGGCAATGCAGCGTATTTTGGAGACAGCAATGCTATGCAAGATCGGCTGAAGGATGTGCAGCAGATCCGAGCCGCCGAAAACGCATTCGCTGCAGTTCGGGGTGATGGAGCTGTAGTGTGTTGGGGAGATACTGAATCTGATGGTAACAGAATTGCCCTGGAGGATGAGCTGAAGAACGTGACGCAAATCCAAGCTTCCGAGAGGGCCTTCGCCGCGCTGCGAGGAGATGCATCCGTGGTGACCTGGGGCGATTCCGGCTACGGTGGCGACTGCAGCTCCGTGCAAGATCGGCTGAGAGATGTGCAGTGCATCCAAGCTTCAGGCCGAGCTTTTGCTGCAATCTTGGGCGACGGATCCGTGGTGACATGGGGCCACGCCGGCTGTGGCGGCGACAGCAGCGCCGTGCAAGACCAGCTGAAGGACGTGCGACACATCCAAGCTTCCCGCGGGGCTTTCGCTGCCATCCTGGGCGACGGATCAGTGGTGACGTGGGGGAACTCTGACTATGGCGGCAGCAGTGCCAGTGCCTTTAAAGGAGGGAACTGATGTTGGAGCCCCGGAGGATTCCCAGCAAGACACAGAGAGGGCCACCTACTAGCCCGAGCCATCCAATACAGGAAAAAAGGGCAAGTGTACCCAGCAAGGGTTTAGCCGGGTTTTGAGCTTTTTGGGTTCAGCACTTTAGATCAGTTTAGGGTTACGGGTTTAAGGCCAAGGCCCCAGAAACTTTGTGAAGCTCCCCTATAGCGCGCACCTGCACCATACAAATCTCACTAAGCCCGAATAGCTTTTCACCACTGCGAGCCCTAAACCCTATAGGCCCTTAGCCCTTAACCCCCACTCTACGTAATTGTCTTGGAGTTGAGGGTTTAGGGGTTGTCGGGTTTTGAACTCCCAAAGACTCTGCACCTCAAAGCATAGACCCGTACCTACCAGGGGAGAACAGCCCTACCACACTCACGCCCAAGAAAGTGTTTAGGGGTTTAGGGTTTAGGGTTTAGGGTTTAGGCTTCATTGTCTCGTTTTCGGGTTTAGGCGGTTTCGTTAGACTCGTTTCATGGCTCACCGGCGGCTCTCGTGGGAAGTGCGGGCGTTTAGGGTTTAGGGTTTGGGGTTTAGGGTTTAGGGTTTAGGGTTTGAGTGAAAGCCTTTAGGGCGGTTTTGGGGCTTCGAGGGTTTAGGGTTTTAGGGTTTTTTGGGGTTTTTGGGTTTTTCTGGGTTTTTTGGGGGGTTTTAGGGTTTTAGGGTTTTAGGGTTTAGGGTTTTAGGGTTTTAGGGTTTTAGGGTTTTAGGGTTTTAGGGTTTTAGGGTTTTAGGGTTTTAGGGTTTTAGGGTTTTAGGGTTTTAGGGTTTTGGGGTTTTGGGGTTTAGGGTTTTAGGGTTTATAGGTGTTTGGGTGTTTGGGTTTAGGGTTAGGGGGGCTTTGGGCTGCTTGTTTCAAAACATAACGACCTCAGGGCATAGGTCTCAGCTAAGGGTGTTAGGGTTTAGTTGATACAGCTTCCCTAAACCCTAAACCCTAAACCCTAAACCCTAAACCCTTTATTCCTTCCGCGAGCCCCAGTCTCGCAGGATGTACGGTTTCACGCGTAACTATACCGACCTTGGAACCCTAGCAACATTTTACAAGTCTTTGTGGTGCTTTAGTGCAACTTTAGATCCTTAGCCTTTTTGGGTTTCTTGGGTTGCTGAATAAGGCAGCTAAAGGTTGATTTTTGTTGCTACCCTCCTAAGTGCAGCCAAGAATTTTAGCTGTTTCTTAGGAATTGTAGTACCCAAAAGTTGAAGGTTGTTTCCAAGTATCCCTAAGGTAAGAGACCCAACCATGCAATAAGTTCTGGAGTGTTACCGTAGAGTGAGCTTTTTCAGTGCTGCTTGTTTCTTCGTTTACAGCGCCATGACCGCCAACTATTGTTGTCCATTTCTATGCGGCTTGTGTTTGCTTTCGCAGTCTGTACGAGGCAGTTGTTCCTAACTCCTCCACTCCCCCCAAAAGAAGTATCGAGCCCGAAGCCCTCAACCCTAAACCCTAAACCCCTGGACCCTCAGTAGATTCAGTTCTCAAACCCTGGAGGACATACACAAAGCGATTCTTGAAAAGGCTGCCGAAGTGCATCGCCGAACTGGGAGGCATGCAAGCGGGGCTAGTTGGGGTTTAGGGTTTAGGGTTAGGGGTTTAGGGTTTAGGGTTTAGGGTTTAGGGTTTAGGGTTTAGGGTTTAGGGTTTAGGGTTTAGGGTTTAGGGTTTAGGGTTTAGGGTTTAGGGTTTAGGGTTTAGGGTGGCTCCCTTAATATGCTTAAGGTATCGGGTTCTTCAAAAGCCCTGTTGAGGGTGAGAAGGCTGAGCTCTCTTTCTCTAGAAAAGGCCGACCGGGACTCCTCTTGGGCTTTTGGGACTTGAGGGGCTTTGGGGACTTCAGGGACTTTAGGGTTTAGGGTTTAGGGACTTTAGGGTTTAGGGTTTAGGGACTTTGGGGACTTGAGGGACTTTAGGGTTTAGGGTTTAGGGTTTAATTAAGGTTTAGGGACTTTTTGGGGACTTTAGGGGCTTTAGGGGTCTTTAGGGGCTTTTTGGGGGTCTTTAGGGGTCTTTAGGGGCTTTTTGGGGGCTTTAGGGGTCTTTAGGGGCTTTTTGAGGGGCTTTTGGGGACTTTAGGGGCTTTAGGCGCTTTAGGGCCTTTAGGGCCTTTAAGGACTTTGGGGACTTCAGGGCTTGGGGTCTAAAGGGCCAGCACCTCTGGGCTCAACCTGTTTGATGGGGAATGGTTGCCCCAGGTTTCTGTGGGTATCTTCGGGCCCCACCACCCTCCTAAGGTTTGGGGTTTAGGGTTTGGGGTTTAGGGTTTAGGGTTTAGGGTTTAGGGTTACCCTTCAAGAAGCGAAGTAGAGCCGTAGGGAACATTTGGGGGCACCCTATTGGCGAGGTGTGGGCTGGTGATGAGTTGCAGCGCGAAGAGGGTACACATGCTACAGAACTTACTTACGCCCTAAACCCTCAACCCTCAACCCTAAACCATCAACCCTCAACCCTAAACCCTAAACCCTAAACGCTAAACCCTAAACCCTAAACCCTAAACCTATTCCACTTAGGGTTTAGGTTCCCTGTATGAACCCCTGTTCATAAACGACATGGGAATTGTTAAGGACTCTACTTGCAAGCAAAGGGGGCGCACCAGGACTCTGAGAAACCCCCGAAGAGCTGCGGTTTAGGGTTTCGGGTTTAGGGTTTAGGGCTTAGGGTTTAGGGTTTAGGGTTTAGGGTTTAGGGTCTCGGGTTCAGGGTTTAGGGTTTAGGGCTAGACCCTATACGATCTTTCCGGGTGCCAAAAAGGACCTTCAATGGCATCTACGACCACGATCCGGACGACATCTTCATCTGGAAGCCCGATATCAGTGCGCGCATTAAAAACTCTACAGACTCTACACCCTAAACCCCAAAGCCCCGCCCACCAAGACCTGGACCCCGAACAAGCCCTAGGGTCCCTAAAGCCGAAACCCTAAACCCTAAACCCTAAACCCTAAACCCTAAACCCTAAACCCTAAACCGCCCTAAACCCCCACCCCCCCAAACTTCTGTTGCCACGCGCTCTGCTCTGAGGATGAGGTGCTGCAAAAAGAAGCGTCTGGCTTGCCGGGGTTTAGGGCTTCATGCTTATGGTGTCGGGTTTAAGGTGTTGAGGGTTTAGGGTTTACACGATTGAAGAATATGGGCGGGTTTAGGGTTTACGGTTTTGGGATCTAGGGCTTGGGGCGTAGGGTTTCAGGTTTCGTGCTGAAGGTGTAAAGTTCTTCGCCGTTAAACTGGACTCTTGCGAACGAACTTCAACTCGGTAACAGAGCAGGGCTATTCCAGGACCCTGAACCCTAAACCGAAAGCCCTAGACTGCCATCATGGAGAACCTTTCTAAGTATGCAAGTAATACCTACTTTCAAATTGAAAGTTCCCCTAGGGCTTAGCTTAAGCCGATTAAGCTCCTTAGCAAGGTTGTAGGGTTTGTGGTTTTGGGTTTATGGTTTTAGGGTTTGTCAGGGTTCAGGGTCGGGTCTAGGGTTTAGGGTTCAGGGTAGAGCTGTGCCAAGTGCCAAAGCAAAATTGGGCTGTTGGAGGACCCAGGTGGCTTTTCCAACAGTCAAATCTGCCTATTTACGGAACCTGGTTTAGGTTTTCGGGACTAGGATTTGGGTTCTATATAGTTTTTGTTTTAGGTTTTAGGGTTTAGGGTGTCGGGTTGATGAGAGTTTGGACGAAACTCTCACTCCCCAAAGCCCTACTCCCCCCCTCCCCCCCCCCCAAAATAAATAAATAAATACATATATATATATATGTGTATACATATACATATACATATACATATACATATACATATACATATACATATACATATACATATACATATACATATACATATACATATACATATACATATACATATACATATACATATACATACATACATACATACATACATACATACACATATATATATATACATATTTTCTATCATAGTAACGAAATAAAACCAAGAAAACAGCCCTAAACCCTAAGCCCTAAAGCCTCAACCCTAAAAGCCCCCTGAACCCGCCACCCTGAACCCACAGCTTCACCACCCAAATCCCCAAACCCTAAACCCCAAACCCTAGACCCTAAACCCTAAACCCTAAACCCTAGACCCTAAACCCTAAACCCCAAACCCTCAACCCGAACCTCGAGGCTCATGTGTACTTATGACATCTTATAACCCCAATTATCAGTCTACTGACAACCTACTTAGAGAACTTAGGGGACTTAGGGGGAAGTACAACTAGAATTGGAGCTATACCATAAGTACCCTGAACCTCCCAAGCAATCTGAACCCTGAACCCTAATACCCTATACCCTATACCCTAAACCCTAAACCCTAAACCCGCCCAAAAGCCCGGGCGCGCATGGCCATCAGTTTTACAAGGTGAGGAGCCTCGACGAGGGCTGGTGAGGCCGATATGACGGGTGTTTCGAGTGGGTTTAGGGTTGAGGGTTTAGGGTTTAGGGTTTGGGGTTTCGGATTTGGGGTTTAGGGTTTAGGGTTTACGGTTTGGAGTTTTCAGATCTGGGTTAGTGGGAGATCTCTTAGCTCGGTGTCCTGAAACTTAAACCAAACCCTGCCTCCGGGGGTCTGCTGAGAACGGGATTCTCGGCTTCTTTTCTACACCCGAGTGTCGAAGCGTGAGGTCTTACTGTTGAATTCTTCTGGGCAACGCTTAAGCACATGCCAAGCATCCAACTCCTAAACCCTAAACCCTAATTGTCTCGAACTGTCAAAGTGGCTCACGAAAGGGACGTGTTGGATGTTGTTGTTGGAGTGTGCATGTGTCATCAGTTTCTTCATTTTCTTTGGTAACGGGAGGGGGGGTGGTTGATCTAAAGGCCCTTCTTGGCAAACTATGTAAGGCTGTTCTGGGTTCAGAAGGTAGTTTGGGGCAGGTTATTGTTCAGCTAACATATCTAAGGGGTGATGACACGCGAGATATCTTCAGCTCAAGCAACTGCGAAATCTCTTCAGAGCGATGCTCTCCTTCACCCTGTACTCAGAGTTGCGGTTTCGGTTATGGTGCCTGCTTAGGGTTTAGGGCGTTAGGGTTTAGGATTTAGGGTTTAGGGTTTAGGGTTTAAGGTTTAGGGCTTTAGAGTTCAGGGACATGCTAGAGCCGAGCCTAGAATTGCCTGGCAGGCGGAACACGGCCGGGGGCTCCAAGACTGGATACTGGCGCTGAGATCGGATTCTGGCGTAGGACTTCCACCACTGCACGCGCTGTCACTGACACCCTAAACCTTTCAACGCTTAGAAACCCAAAACCCTAAGCCCTAAACTCTACATCCTACATTTTAGACTTGGGATGTTCCCCCTTAATACTAACAGTCCTTGCTAGGATTAGAATGACTCAGCGTTGCAGCACGGTCGTTGCCTTTTCTCTGCTCGCGAGGGCACACGCTCAAAGTTAGGTGAAACGAGCCCTTCAAGGCCTTTCAACCTTCACAGTATAGGGGGCAGCATAATCCCTAGTAAGGACTGTTAGTAAAGGGGGAGTATCCTAACCTAAACCCAAAGCTCAGAACTCTACATCCTACACCCTAAACCCTAAACCCTAAACCCTGCCCTGATTCCCTGATTATTTTGGCACTCGATTATATATATATATATATACGAATATATATATATATATATATATAAATACGAATATATATATATATATATATATATTTATTTATTTATTTATCTATTTATTTATTTATTTATTTATATTTACATCTGTATTTCTTTTATTTATTCATGCTTTGTTTATTTATTTATTTACTTATGGACGTTTATGTACTTATTTATTATTTATTTGATTATTCCCCACCCTCAATGTGGGGTTGTTAGATTTGAACCTCAACTCTTCTCCTCGCCCGGAACTCTTCTCCTAGCCCGGTCTAGTCCTCGCTCATCCCTGGAGTGCCCAGCCCCGGTGTGTCCCCGAGTGCCCAGCCCCAGAGTCTCCCTGGAGTGCCCAACCCCAGAGTCTCCCTGGAGTGCCCAACCCCAGAGTGTCCCAGGAGTGCCCAGCCCCAGGGTGTCCCTGGAGTGCCCAACCCCAAGAGTATCTCTACCAAGAGAGGGTGGGGATGTTCGAAGTAAAATACTTTATTTGTTTTTTTTCAAGCATTGTCACCCTTTCGGGCTTAAGAGGACAAAATATCAGGGTTTACGGCTTAGGAGTTAAGGTTTAGGATTTTGGGTTTGTGGGGTTTAGGGGGGCTTGCAGGGCCATCCGAGCAAGCTTAGAAATCTTTGGGCTTGCCCCAGGGTCACAGCCCAGAATCTTGGAATCTATCTTGGAGCACTTTGCAGCCTTTGCACCCCAACTTTCAGCAAGCAGTTCCCTATACCCTGTAACCCCGAACCCCTAAACCCGAAACGCGAAACCCTAAGCCCTAAGCCTGAAACCCTAAACCCACCCTAAACCCTAAGCCCTAAACCCAAAACAAAGGCCGCTGGTGATCTTATCTCAGTGCGAGCTCCAAGCGTTCAGTTGATTCAGAAAGCTTAGGCAGCTTCGGGGAGTACTAAGGGAAATACCAGGCCCTAAACCCTAAACTTACCCTAAACCTTAAACCCTTAACCCGTAAACCCTAAACCCCCAGAGACTTTCGTGAGCAGCCATAGACCTGCACGTTGTCTGCTCGAAAACCCTGAATCCTAAGCTTCCCTTCGACCCAGAGTTCTAGACCCCCCCCCAAGCTCTAATTTCAAAGTCCCTTGGACCTAAACTGCCTGAACCCTAAAACTTTAGGCCTAAACCCCAAACCCCTTTAGCCCTAAGCCCTAAGAACCTTTAAGCCCCTTAGCCCTAAACCCTAAACCCATTCGCCCTCAACTCTAAACCGCTTAGCCCTAAGCCCTAAAGATTAGTCTAAAGCCCTAAACCCCAAACCCTAAGCCCTAAACCCTAAACCCTAAACCCTAAACCCTAAACCCTAAACCCTAAACCCTAAACCCTAAACCCTAAACCCGAATCCTTCGAAAAAAAGATGGAGCCGCCAGAACCACGGGCCGCTCCTTGGGCGCTTTAGGGTTGACGGTTTAGGTGGGGGGGGGGGGGGGGGTTAGGGTTTAGGGTTTAAGGTTTAGGGTTTAGGGTGTAGGGTCGAGGGTCTGCTCGAGCTTGACGTCATGATTGGTTGGGCAGGACGGCCCCTTGGTCAACAGCTACCGCCACAGCCGCGCGCAAGCCCAGCTCCAGATCCTGCAGGGTTTTCGGGTGTACGGGCTGGGGGGGGGGGTAGAGCCTAAGCCCTCAACCCTACACCCTCACGTAGCCCTAAACCCTAAACCTTAAACCCTAAACCCTAAACCTTAAACCCTCACCTATAACCCTAAACCCTAAACCCGTTTAGGGTTGGACTCTGCAGCGGGTTCAGGGCTTCGGGGTTTTTGGGACATGGCAGTCTTCTTTTTTCGGGCTCCAAGAAGTCGACTGGGAGGTGAAAAGTCCTCTGTCTGGGTTCCGTTTAGGGTTCAGGGTTCAGGGTTCAGGATTTAGGGTTTAGGGTTTAGGGTTTAGGGTTTAGGGTTTAGGGTTTAGGGTTTTGAGTGTAGGGTTTCGGGTTTAGGGTTTAGGGTTTCGAGAAGGACTGCAGGGATCCTATGTTTTGAGGTTCCCTACAGGGGCAGAATCCTCTCTCGCACCCAACGGAACCCACAACCCGGAGTTACCTCTTCCGGGTTTAGGGTTTAGGGTTTAGGGTTATAGCTAGGGTCCTCAATATAACCCAAGTTTCCGTAATGCTTCCCACTACTCCCCAAGGCTCCCTAAGTTTCCCTAAAGTTCTCCAGGTACCTACCCCCGATAAACCCCCCCCCTCCCTTAGAACCCTTTATCTTAGGGTTTTGGGTTACCCTGGGCTCGAGGGTGTCATAGTTGTCATGGATCGAAGCAATATTTCCTATGAGGGTATTGCCGAAATTCGGGTTTGACCCTCCGAAAAACAAAGAGAACATGGGGACCCCGAAACCCCAAAGCCCTTCACAAAACCGCATGTTTCTGTCGCCAAGGGCTAAAAGAGAGAAGGTCGTAGCGCGTACGGCCGAAAATAGCCCTGAGCAGCCATGCAAAGCTCGGCGTGCGAGGTCACCAGAGCAGGCGACAACAACGCAATGAACCCGAAAGGTTCTGGTTTCGGCTTGGGTGTTTTAGGGTTAAAGATTCGGGACCTTAACCCTTATGAGAAAACAACACGCCATGTACGTACGGCCTTGAAGTGCTTAGCCATTTTTGCCGCAGATTATCGCATTTGTCCGCAACTCTCCTGCTGGCATGCGTATGCCTACCGACGCCAGCAGTTTATCAACGGAAGACAAGCGAACCTGACAGTTTTTGAGTCCAAAACTTAACCGTTCCTATGCCCATCTTGATCCAACTCTGATCTGGCTTGCTTTGCCCTTTGCGCAACCTTTGTGATAGATACCGGACACCGCTCAGGACAAAATACATATGATCATATTATCATATTCCATAAGCCGCGGCCTGAAGCCACTTCGAGGGTTTAGGGAAAGCCCAGAGAAGTCTAAAGCACGAACAAAGGCGGCGAAACCCCAAGCACCGCAACCTGCAAAACAAAAACAAGCTCTGTAAACCCAGATCCCGCCGGGATTTAGGGTTTCGGGTTTAGGGTATATAGGCTTAGCAGTAGAGTAGGTAACCTTTATCCTTTTTGGGGTAATAGATTCCCCTTATATTCCCAAAGGTTAACCTTTAAAACCCCTAGGTACTGGACAACTAAGTAGGGTTTGGTGTTTAGGATTGCTCCAGGCAGGCTATGGTTACGGCTCAGGGTAGGAACCCTTGAACTGGAGCCCTAATGTAAGGAACCTGACACAGACAGTCCATCAACACAGACGAAGTTCTCTAATCCGCCTAAGCTCTACACCCCTACACCCCTAAACTCTGAACCCTAAACCCTAAACCCTAAGCGCTTATATGGGCGGGCTGCTTGGAGAACGGGAGTCATTGCATGAAAAAACCCAAAACCCTAAACCCTAAGCCCCATAAACCCTGATCCTTGAACCCTAAACCCCAACCTTCGGGGTCGAACCATGTAAACCGGCATCCCCGTCGCAGGAGAGCCTGGTCGGGAAGCGTTCCAAACTGTTGGGGCCTACTCCGATGATGAGCTCCTGTGCCCGGGTTTAGGGTTCAGGGTTTAGGGTTTAGGATTGAGGGAGTGAAGTCTATCCCAGATGGTCCATTTGTAGTACTATCATGGAATTAACTACCCGAACACCCTATTTAGTATGGTTCTTGGGTGCCTAATTCCATCATAGTACCACAGGCGGACCCGCTGGGTATGGTTCCCTTTCTTGAGTTTTGAGAGGGACTTTGGGATTTAAAAGGGTCAACCTAGGATTCAGGTGGGCTCAGCTCCAGAATTGCACAATCGAAGAACAAATGGAGTAGGGTCTAGGTTTAGGGTTTATGTAGAGGGTTTAGGGTTTAGGGCTAGGGTTTAGGGTTTAGGGTTTAGGGTTTAGGGTTTAGGGTTTAGGGTTTAGGGTTTAGGGTTTAGGGTTTAGGGTTCAAGGGTTAGGGCCTCAAGGCCTCCGCTGCCGCAACGGGCAGTCTGCAGCCGGCGCGCGGCAGCACTCTGCGCGGCACCTGGGACAGCAGAGTCTATTGCAAGCGGTGCCCCCAATCGACCCCCTCCCCGTCTGGCAGGGTTTAGGGTTTAGGGTTTAGGGTTTAAGGTTTCGGGTTTAGGGTTCAGGGTTTAGGGTTTAGGGTTTAAGGCCCACCCACACAGAATATGTTTCTTTAACCCCAATCAGGAAGGCGTGGGGTTTTGTTCTTACTACTAATCTGGGTTTCCAGGGTTAGCGTCTTGGGGTTTATCTTGGGGAAGCTACATGGTCCCGAATTAGCATGGGCCCTTAAACAGGGACCCCTTCCAACCCAAGGGCCCATTCATCAGAACCCTTTAAAGGGCTTCAGAGACCATACTAAGGGCCCATGTAAATACCCCTAAACCCTAAACCCTAAACCCTAAACCCTAAACCCTAAACCCTAAACCCTAAACCTAAGGGTTTGTATTGTTTCAGGCACGCCGGCTGGTGCTCGTCCGGAATGGGGTTTCTCTTTTCAAAGCTCGTGGTGCTCTTGGATTTTCTTGACCTTATGAAACCTTAAACCCTAAACTGCAGACCAATCTGGCCCGAATTCCCAAAGCATCTTCTGCAAGCCCCTGTGCCTCAGACCCTCGTTCGCCTGGAAGCTGAGCCCTGAGAACTTTCAGGAACCCCTCAAAACCCAAGACCGGCGCGACATATTTGTCGGCACGCGCGCTGCGCCCTTGTGCGTTTCGTACGTTGTTAATTACATAGGTTCCTCCTTCAAATTTCTTGAGCCCAAAAGAAGCGACCTTTTTCACAATCAAAGGCCTAAAACGTAAGTATGCGCCTTTTCGTCCAGCTTAAACCCTACTCTTAAGCCTCTTAAGCCCTTAAGCCCAAGAACCGAAGCTCTTGACCCTCGAGTTGCTAAACCCTGCATTCCTCCTGGCTCTGAGCGCTAAGCCCTAAGCCCAACAGCCCCAAAGCTATGTGAAGCCGAAAGACCCCCACAAATGGTAGGATTCCCATATAATAGGGACCCCAATAGGGGCTTTAGGGTTTAGGGTCTAGGGGCTAGGGTTTAGGGTCCCAGCTATTCGCCCGAAGCATGAAGCCCAAGGTGCTGGGACTAACAGCTGTACTTGGTGTGACTCTCGCACAGGGATCTTTGCTGCAGCGCCTCTTGTGCAGGGAAGGATTTGGTTTTGGGTTTAGGGTTTAGGGTTTAGGGTTTAGGGTTTTAGGGTTCAGGGTGCAACATTTCCCCAACAGCAATCCATCAACCCTGCTTCAATCAGATGGGCCATGTCAGTAATGGTATACTATAGGAGTCGGAATAATTGCTAATAATATTCGCGTATAGTCCCTATGCTTTTGAAAAAAAACCCAACAAAACCCTACCACACTCTGCTTCAGGCTGGTCCTCTTAACAGTTACTTCAGACACCATGGTGGCAGTGTGATTTGCTACTCCTGTCACATATTGTCCTTGGGGCAACACAGCTGATCCTGCACATCTCTTGCTGTAGCAAGGCCACCACCCCGGACCTTACTTCTGGGTTTAGGGTTTAGGGTTTAGGGTTTAGGGGGGTTTAGGGTTTAGGTTTAGGGTTCAGGGTTCGGGGTTTAGGGTTTAGGGTTTAGGGTTTAGGGTTTAGACTCGAGTTAACTTTGAGCACGAAAAAACCCGAGACCCTAAACCCCAGATCCTAAACCATTAAGGTTCTGAGAAGCACCCCAAATAATGTTGCTACCCGGGGAACAACTAAGTTGGATCCTATGTTCACTTCCGTTCCCTTAGCAAAAGCTGTGCGTACCGAAATCATGCAAGGGGCCGAAATTAGTTAGTACACGGTTTTTGGAGAGGAAGGGTCATTAATTACAGCATACATGTATAGGGACCAGAAGGGAATATTATTCGTCCCTAAACCCTAAACCCTAAACCCTAAACCCTAAACCCTACACCATAATTCATGCGGCAGTGACTGAGGCAAGCAGGCGAGCTGCTTCGACATCCACTGTCGCTTTGGTCTTCAAGCGCCTGGGGCCATCCCGTCAGGGCTTAGGGCTTAGGGCTTTTTTGTTTAGGGTTTAGGGTTTAGGGTTTAGGGTTTAGGGTTTAGGGTTTAGGGTTTAGGGTTTAGGGTTTAGGGTTTAGGGTTTATAAGAGGGTTTAGGGTTTAGGGTTTCGGATTTAGGGTTTAGGGTTGAGTCAGTTTCAAGCTCAGGTGTTTTGGCTTTACGGCGCCTGCCAGCGAGGGACTCACTAAGGAGCACTGATCGAGTGTTGGAAAATCATCTCCTGAAGTATGCTTTCGCTTCGGGTCCATGTGGTAGGTGATCTGATAGAGAGATACCTGTTCCCAAATAATAATTAGGTACTCTCGCGCAAAATGGACATCTCACAGGGGATTTCAATTCCAGGTTTGAATGGGCATTTATAGGACACTTTATGGAACACAAAGTTGTGTGTTCTCTTGAAAACAAATCGGTGTGAATTTTTGAAGCAGTAAAACTCCAGACGCTTAACAGCAAGTAGATCTAATCCCTGAACCCTAGAAGTTTGACTTCTGAACCGAGTCCTCCTCCCCCCCGCCCCTCCC